ATTATTTGTACACAAACCTCCATTTTGGCAAGGTCTCGTAAGGCATTCATCAACATCTATGACAAATAATAAGATTTGGATTTGTATGGGAATATGAAATATTAGATTGCTAATTGTTGACTGAACAACAACATCACCAACAACAATAGGATACATTTCCAGGAATTTGTTGTTGATATTTCTGGTGTTATGTGTGGGTTTTTTTCGTTTGTATTTGTGATTGTTTACCTAAGTGGCAGTCCTGCCCTGTCCATGCTTCTGTGCAGTTGCATATGTAGCTTCCTTCAGTATTTGTACAATTGCCTTCATGCTTGCATGGTCTTGCAAGGCACTCATTGATATCTTGTCATCAGAAAGGAAAAAATGAGTTGTATTTATAAATTAACTAATAATTGTATGAGGAAGTAGCTGATCCCATTAAAGAGTGCTCAATACACATAAAGTGTAGAGCTAGTTATATATATAATATCAAAGAGGCAAGATTTTGCTGTAACTCCGAGTTTCGTGCTACGCACTCATCAGACAGTATTTAAAAATTAACTAATATAAATGAATCAAATGTAAGGAATAAAAGAAAAAGAATATTATGAACACGTAACATAAGCGTTCATTGATAATGATAACTGATTGTTTAGTAGACAATGTGGCTGATTGGTCGAGCGTTACCGGGCGACGTCTGTTCTCACAGTATATGAGACACGCGCGAGAGGCATATGAGGCATTATGAACACGTAACATAAGCATTCATTGATAATAATAACTGATTGTTCAGTAGACAATGTGGCTAAATGGTCGAGCGTTACCGGCCGACGTTTGTTCTCACAGTATATGAGACACGCGCGCGAGGCATTAGTTAGTCACTCTTGATTGACAGTTGCCAGTCAGTTGCTGACCAAGACCCCAAGTCAATCTACCTTTTGATTAATTGGTGGAGAGCCCAGTAGTTCAAAAGCAACTCAATTTAAATTTCCCATCATTTACCTCTAATACATTGATTTATTTGCCAGCCAATGGTACASGTACAGATAAAACTTCCAATAGTATTTGTACATGTTCCTTCTTTTTGACATGGACTATATATGCATTCATCAACG